GTTGTTGTGGCTCAGTGGTAGAGTGCTTGCCTAGCGTGTGTAAGACAATGAGTTCGGTCTTCAGTGAGAGAGAGAGAGAGAAAGAGAGGGAGGGAAGGACAGAAGGAAGGAAGGAAGGAAGGAAGGAAGGAAGGAAGGAAGGAAGGAAGGAAGGAAGGAAATTGTGTCCATCTACAATTAAAAAGAGAAATGTCCTACTGCAGACTCAGTGAATCAGCAGCTTTGGGATGGAGTCAGCGATCTGTGAATTTCTACTTTCTATACATTCAATTTTTTTAATATTTATTTTTTAGTTCTATCTAGATGGACATAACATCTTCACTTTATTTTTATGTGGTGCTGAGAATCATGCATGCTAGGTGAGCACACTACCACTTGAGCCACATCCCCAGCCCCATACATTCAATTTTGAGAACCAATGGTCTACTCTGGTTAGTGCAGAAAGGAGAGACATACATCCCAGACATCCCATATATCTAAGACAATTCCAGGTATTTAGATCCCTGAACAGATTCCAAGAAGGCAGGCAGGAACTCAGAAAGATCACCCCAGCAAGAATTGGTGTTGACATCCTATGTACCAACAGCCTCCCCCTCCCATATGCTACACCCATATTCAGGACTTGATTTCTGACCCAGGCAGGGTGACACAGGGCCAGAGACCTTCTCTAGAGGCCGCAGAACTAGAGCAGAGCATCACCCAAAAGGGCTGCCTGGGTGTCCTGGAACTCTTAACATCCCCGCCAACTCTCAAAGGCTTTTGGCAGTTGCCCACTTAACCTGCAGAGGCTGCTGAGAAATTCCAGTTAGTGAGGTTTGTGGTAGGACTGGTTGATTACTATAGGACAGGGGTGATCAATCAAAAACAGGCTTCTGGGACTCAGTGGAAGAACACTTGCCTAGCATGGGGCCCCAGGTAGAATTACCAGCACCTAATAAATAAATAGGCTCCAAAAGGGACAAGTGAAGTTAGGCATATGGATCATTTGATGGGTCCTTGGGGGGTTATTAGATAGTTTCCCTTGCAGTCCTCCCCAGGACGCAACCTGTACCAAAGCAGTCGGGGTGGGAGGCTCCGAGACCAAGCCGCTCCTGTCTCGGTATCTGTCCGATGGCTCCCAGAGTGCTGTTCCAGGACCCCTGCAGCACTCAGCGTCACCTGAAAAACGCACATTCTCGGATTCCACCCCACCCCACCCCACCTACAGAATCAGAACCGCTGCAATTTGTGCCATAACAAGCTCTTCAGGAGATTCCAGGATCCTTCCACCCAGTTTGAGGACCACTGGACTGGGGGTGACTTGGGGTCAATTGGGAGCAGCCCAGTGGGCGGTTAGCCAGCAACTCGGAGCTCCGGGGCCCCAGGCGGGGGCAGCCCCCCAGTGCGCGGCCCCTGCCAGGCATCGCGGGGTCGGCGGGCTGGGGCCGCCGGCGGTGGCTTGCGGGGAGGAATGACGGCCGTGAGATTCCGCTCTGACCTTATTTTGTTCCATTCCGGGAGGAATAATTTGTTTCGTATTGGAATCAAAGCGCCTCTCGCGGCTCTGGCGTTTTATCTCGGCGGCTCTCGGCCCGTGGGCAGGGGCTCGGCCGGGGCGCGGCGGCTGCTTCCCATTAGGGCGAGCATGGTCCCCATTACGCGGCTGGCTCCGTGCAGAGCCTGTCCCTGCTAACGGGACGCAGCTGACCGGCCTCCGTGCCGCGACACCCAAGGACCCACCCCTCTCCGCCCTACTACAGATGGTCCCAGAGGGAAGAGGAACTGAGTGGCTTGACTGTCACGGGGCCTGCTGTGATGCGATCGGTAAGGGGCACCGTGCCCAAAAGAGCACTGCAGCCGGCCCCTCCCTCCCTCCCTCCCTCTCCCCCATCTCTGCTGTAGAACTAAGCTCAAGGCCCCTCGATTTTAGGACGCGGGTCTCACAAAAGCGTCAATTACCGTGGAAAGCATCACAGGATTCCCGACGACAGGGAGAGGAAAGAGGTTCCATTTTACCTGTATAAGACAGCCCCTGAGCCAGGGCCGGTCACAACTGCTCAAAAAGACATGGTGGACCTCTCTTCCCCCTAGTGTGGCATCCCTTTCACAAATAGCACAGGACATCAGTGAAGAGACTTAAAAAAAAAAAAAAAAAAAAAGACACACCCAGTCTATCTTAACAGCTCTGGCAGACAAAGGGGACAGCACCCCCACCCGCTGGGGAGGAGCATGATCTCTACAGTTCTGGTCAAATCAAGGAGTGGAGCCTTCAACGCACTGTATCCTGTGCATCTTCTGTATCTTTCCTGTGTGAAAAAGGATCTGTATTGAAAAGCCTGCAGTTGTTGAGTGGTTAGGAACTGTGTAACAACATGGAAAAATAATAATCATGGCTTTGTTAGTGGTCAGACTTGGAAGATCGTTGGTTTTCCATCCTATTTGTAAGTTGCCACAATTACTACAATATTGTTTGTGCAATCAAAAACTTAATGAAAATAAGTGTGAAATCAAAGAAAATAAGTGTGAAAATTGACCTGAATGTTGGGGCCTTTTGTGTTGTTTTCTTTGCTCTGGGGTTGTAGGGGTGTCTGGCTGTTTATGCAAGCCCTGTCACCCACACAAGATACAGAAGATACACAAGATATGGTGAATGGGAGGCTCTGCTCCTTGATTTGGCCACAGTGTTGCAGAGACCAATGCTACTCCCCAGTGGTGGAAGGCTGCCCCCCTTGTCTGCAGAGCTATTAAGACAGAGGGACTGGATGTGAATTTGTTTTTTAATATTCTTTTCACTGATGTTTTATGCTACTTGTGAAATGGATGCCACACTAGGGGGAAAATGTGCCATGTGAATGTGGCCTAATTGTTTAACTCCCCCATTTAGGTAGGATGCTTCCAAGTTCTCCACACTTATAAAGCGAAAATATTGCAATGGGTATTTCAATATTTTATCATTTCTTCCTTTTACAATATTTATTAAAGAATGCACATTATATTTTATAACTTTTATTTACTTATGTAGATAATATTTTTTGCAGGGAATTTGAAAAATTCAGAACATTATAATAAACAGCCATAATTCCAATTCTCATTTTCATTAATAAGTTTTTTTTTCCTGCCTCCTCTGAAGTCTTCTAGCACATGTTCCCTCTTACAATTTGACTCTGTTTTATCTGTAGTGTTTCACCTTGGATTTCATGGCTGTCTTTTCTGTACTCCCTAATTGTAATATTATTGAAGGCAAAGACCATACTTTTTTTTTTCATCTGCATAGTGACCATAATAGCTAGTTTTTATTGGGTTCCTAGTCTGTTCCAGCCATTATACATTATTTCACTTAATTCCCACAAACTACATTTTAAATGAGACTGAACAACATGAAATAACTTGTGCAGGGTCTGCAGATTCTAAACACTGGAGCAGAAATTGATTCCATATTCATGCTTTTTCCACTGTATAGAGTAGAATTGCATTGGATAGATAACCTCTAAAATCACTTCTGATTTAGAATGATATTAACCTAGTGATTAATAACCTGCCATGTCTTAACATCAGTTATAATACTTTTGGACTTTAAAAAAATGAATTTAAACAATGAGGGAATTTTGTAGTGTTCTTGTTTTTGTTTTCTTCCTCTCGCAAAAGAGAAGACTTGTCAGAGTAGTACCTCCAGGCTATAGGTGTAGCCAGTCAAAGACTTGGACACCAGCCCTGCCACTTACCATGTACAGTTCTGGAAACTATAGCAAGCATTGCATTCAATTTTAAAACATCTAACAAAGTCAGGTGTGGTGGTGCATGCCTTAATCTCAGCGATTCAGAAGGCTGAGGTAGGATAATCACAAGTTTTGAGGCCAGCCTCAGCAACTTAGCAAGACCCTATCTCAAAAATTAAAAAATAAAAAGGAAAGATTGGGGATGGGCACAGTGGTGCACATCTGTAACCCCAGCAGCTCAGGAAGCTGAGGCAGGAGGATCACAAGTTCAAAACCAGCATCAGCAACAGTGAGGTGCTAAGCAACTCCGTGAGACTCTGTCTCTAAATAAAATACAATATAGGGCTAGGGAAGTGGCTCAGTGGTGGAGTACCCCTGAGTTCAATCCCTGGTACACCCTGCCCCTGCAAAGAAAAGGAAAGGCTAGGGATGTAGCTCAGTGGTAAAATACCCCTAGGTTCAATTCCCAGTACCAGTACATAAATAAATCTGACAAAGGATCCATCTCTTCCAGGATCTTCTTGGGAATCTGAACCACTTTCCCAGGATTCCTTAGCAATCTCCCACCCATCTCCGGGTCTGGATTGAGTAACATTCTTGTTCTAAGCCAATTTGCTGGCAGAGAGAGAGAGAGAGAGAGAGAGAGAGACAGACAGACAGACAGACAGACAGACAGACACTACCATGGCTGCCTCCAATTTTACCTGGATCTGCCTAAGAGTGAAGGAAAGTTCTGTGCAATTACTTGAGCTACTTATATCCTAGAATAAAATCAGGGTTCTCTAAAGAAGGAAGATAGAGGGCTGAGGGTATAATTCAGCATGCATGAAGCTCTGGGTTTGATCCCCAGTGCGGGGAGGGCAAGGGGGGGGCAGGAGGAGAGGGGAAATGGCTGTTAGGGAAACAGCTAACACCTTTTTTTTTTTTTTTTTTTTTTGGTACTGGGGATTGAACTCAGGACATTATACCACAGAGCAACATTGTCCATCCTCAGCCCTTCTTATTTTTTATTTTGAGACAAGGTCTCACTAAGTTCCTGAGGCTGGTCTTGAATTTTGATCCTCCTGTATCAGCCTCCCAAGTTGCTAGAATTACAGGTGTGTACAACCACACCTGAGGCTTACTTGTCTTTAAATCAGACTTCAGATGGAAATAGATCAATTAAACATGAATTTTCAAATGACTGTGGTTTAGACTATGATGCTTCTGTGGAGAAAGAAAGAGAGGTTCAAATGTGTGGCCTTGACACTGGACTCATTGGGCTCAGAGCTCTGCTTCCATCGGGCCCTCTCTCCCCTCAGCTGCCCGATCCCTCCCCAGCCTTGCTGCTTCTCTCCTATGATCTCTGCTGAATCTTTTTCCTGTGACCTCTGTTGAATCCACCTCTTGCTCCCTCCTGGGTTTGGTGTACATGTGGCCACAGAGTACCCTCAGCCGCACTCCCTCTATAAACTGACAACCTTTCTTGGATATTTTTCTTTCTTGTTTTCTTTTTGAGAATGGGTCTCCCTGTGTTGCTCAGGATAGCCTTGAATTCTTGGGCTCAAGTGATCTTTCTTGTCTCAGCCCTTACCCTTCAAGTAGCTGGCCCAATAGGTATACACCACACCTGGCTCGAACTTTATTTTTTAATAGTACCAGGGATTGAACCTTAAGTGTGCTAAGCACATGCCAAACCACTGAGCTATACCCTCAGCCCATCTCTTAGAAATTCTTAGTTCTCGTCTCCAAGAAAGGGACTCTTTGGGAGGTTATTTTTCTTGTCAAGACAAGCTACCTCGAAGGTTGCTGGCCTAGCTAGCACCTGGATTGGCTGCTACCCTGGGATCACAAGTCACTCCAGATTCATGATGATCTGATCAAGGAATAGGGCAGGGTCACTTGCCACAATGCCTAACAGCTGAGGTCTGCCCCTTTAGAAAAGTCCAGGTCCCAGTGGTGGGCATCTCCATTTGAAATTTAGACACTGATGTCCCTTTTGCCTTTTTATAACCAAATCTATGCCTCCAGGTGAGTCAACTCCACATCCATGCAAATCTGAACACAGTGTAAAAGTTCAACAAATACAACCTGGTTAGTGGGATGCAGTGGCTCATGCCTATAATCCCAGCACTTTGGAGCCTGAAGCAGGAGATCTCAAGTTCAAAGTCAGCCTCAGCAACTTAGGCCCTAAGCAACTTAGTGAGACCCTGTCTCAAAATAGAACATTAAAAGTGCTAGGGATGTGGCTCAGTGATTGAGCACCCCTGGGTTCCAATCCCTGGTACAAAAAAAGTAGAAAAAGACAAAATAAATACAACCTGGTTGGTCAATTCCTCCTGAGGAGCTGTCCTGGGCCAATATTTACCCAACTTTAACTTGCATGCAAATCACCCAGATCTTGTTAAAATACAGTCTTTTTTTTTTCCAGATGGTCTGGGATGGGGCCCTAGATTCTGCACTTCTAACAAGTTAACAGTTGATGCAGTCAATGCTCATCTGGAGCATACTTTTCAGTAGGCTGTAGGTAACCTTTGTGGTGAGGGCCATTGCCAAGTAGGAATGACGCATTGAAATTTCCTTGCCAGCGTACCCCATGTTGCTTAGAGGAAGGACTCGTGGAAATGGACTTGCCTTGGACATTCGCTGTGACATTGCATGTATGTTTGAGAAAGGTGACCCTGCTCAAGGACCAGGGTGGATCAGGGTTTAGGGAGGATCCTACTGGATTAGGGCGGATCCAGGTTTAGGGTGTATCCTGCAGGTTTTAGGGAGTATCCTGCTCCTTGGGTTTAGGGCGTTCCTGGTTTAGGACAATCTGGGTTTAGGGCGGTTCCAGGTTTAAGGTTATTCCTGCTGGGAATAGGGCATATCCTGCTGCCTGAGTTCAGAAAGTATTTGGGATTCAAAGCCTGGTGGAGTACGTGTGAATTTTGTGGGCAGAACCTGGATTTCACCAGAACGTGTTTGTAGAGGGCCGGTGTGAGCTCGGGAATAAAGAATTGCTGTTTGAATCTACAAAGCTGTGAGTGGCTCGTGATCTTGTGCCCAGCCAGACTGCGGTACCTTTGGACTTCTTTTCAACCCAGGGTATCTGTAGTTTTATAACTCCAGGTACATGCTCCCTCCCCTCCTGCCAGGCTGCCTATGATCTTCCCCATGAGTTCAACACTCCTTCTTCCTTGAGTACTTTTGCTTAGGCAAATTACTCTCCAGATGACACAGCACTATTGACGTTGCAGACCAGACCGTTCTTTGTTGTGAAGCACTATTCAGTATGCTGTAGCAGCATTACTGGTCTCTACTTGCCAGATGCCAGAAGCCCCTCTCCTGTGGTAGCATCCAAACATAACTGCAGACATTGCCAAATGTCCCTGGTGAGAGAGGAAGGGAGCAAAATTATCCCTAGTTAA